TTTTTACAAAGTGAAAAAAATATACAAACTTATACATTATTTTACCTGAAAGAATAGAATTAAGTTTACTCTGATAAATAACTTCTTCACAATTTACAAAACTCAATATCAAATTATTAAATCGATTGGATAAGATAATAAAATATTAGCACTTGTGTATTCTTGACATGAAGGAAATGAGCATTTATTCTTCATCAATTTATTTCATTTCTTATGATATGTCAAGAAAAAATAATTTCTTATAATTCACTTGAAGTAGAAGAGAACTCAAATAGCTGGATTTTAAACCCTCTTTTTTCTTTACTTTATCCCAGTGCACTTCAAAATTTTGATTTGAAAAGTGAGGTGGTATCAATACATAAGAAAAGTAAACAAAGAAGGAAGAGTAAATTCCTAATTTGTATAAACTATTTTTGAATAGCCATTAAAATATAGTTGGCAATTTAATTTTGTGAGAAATCAGTTTTCTACAATTATTTTTTTCTTTTGTAATGTTTATTATTGTCAAATATAGCACAGATAAGTATATTTTTATATTTGTATTGTGTCTACTGTTTGTCTGCCTTCATATCCATGAATGACTTTTAACATACTAAAAAAAAATAATATAATATTGAAGTAGATGTTCATTGTGTGGATAGTGCATTTAGTCTAGTGTTACATGAAAAATATGTTCACATACTATATGTGAATAAAAATATACAATGACAATTTCTATACTAGAACATGAAGTATATATAAGCAAAATTGCATAAAGCAAAATAAATTTAAAAATCATGAATAAAAATGAAAAAAACTTTAATAAAGGGGAAAAATAAAATCTAGTACAGGACCATAAAATTTCACATAACCTTGTTCATCTTTACAAATTTTCTACAAAACTGAAATAGTACATTCTGAAGATAAGCATTATATTTTTCTAATTCTTTATTATTTGTTCCCAGCACCTATGACAGGACTTGACACGTAGTAAACACTCAATAAATGTTTGTTAATAAGCAAAGGAAATACAAATCAGAGTTGTTCTAGTCTTGTATATGGGTAAATACTTACACAGACATACACATAAAAGGTTTTAAGTTTAGACAGGGAATACACAGGAGAATAATTTTTAAATTCTCCATATACTTACCGGTAGATTAGTTTTTATAAAATTTTGAGCAATTTTAATAATTTTCTTGGTGTGAAACTATGTTTTACATTTGTTAACTGTTTTGCATAAAAACTTCCTAAGTGTAGGATAAAAGAAGAATCTTCTTTTTTTTTTAACTTGTCAGTCTATTTTGAATGTGTGAAACTGTACAATGTATGCCACAATTAAGAAGGTTCTTTAATTGATGCTTGGTGATGAAGCTTTATCATTTAGTTTAATGAAATTATAGTGTGGGCTAGTAAGTAATCTATTTAATTACAATTCTAAATTAATCCCATTAATGAAATATATCTGTGCATATTGTCCCTGTGCTTAGGCCGTGATTGTCCATTATCATTCTTTTACCAGCTTTGTGAATTATTGAGTTTTGCTAATTAAATTTCATATTATGTGGTGTACATTAGTAAGTATGGAGGAAAATGTGTCTTCTTTTTTCATAGAGATAATTTCTTGATTATTTGTTTAGTGTCTATTGAGCAAATATATAAGCACCACAAAATTTTGCTTTCAGAAACATTCAATACAACCAAAATATAACCAAGAAAATGAATTTCAATCAAAGAACTTAATTCATATTGTGATAATATCTAACTGACCTCTAATTTACAGTCTGTTCTTTTTAATGGAATACAAATTTATTACCATAAGATCAGAGTCCACATTAACAACTACACTCATCATTGTGGTAATAACTCAGAAGTGTGATTTGCAAGGAAAAGTGGAGTGTCCGTGAAAAAAATTCCAGATAATGACTCTTCATAGTGATCAAGAGTGTAATTTATTATCTTTATATTAATTTCAGGAATTCCAAATGCAGAAATTTTAACATTTAAACATAAACTTCTCTTCATTTTTATTTTTTTACAATCCTCTAAAACCTGTGCAGCTGGATGACAAACTCAGGGGATTTTCATTTCATCTTAAAACAACCGTCTTAGAATTTTTATTCCTGATTTTCTCACAAGGGTGTAGGAGAAATCAGCACAAAATGAGAATGAGCTGATATATAACAGGTTTTCTTATCAATTGTCCCTGTACTCATGGGTGATACATACCCACCATTCTCTAATAATTATAATTTAGGAATAAATTCCTCTTTGTCAGCCTATTCGAACTAATGTCCCGATGGTTCTGTCTCAGGTCATGCAGAAATAAAATAAAACAAAAACATCTAAATGACGAAATTCAAGTAAATATCGCCATTCAATAATAAAGTGATAGGAAGTGCACACCTTTTACATGAAGGGGGAACTTTCAGAAAGGATCATTTAGTTCAGTTGTACTGAGGGTGATTTCTAGTTTGCCAGATAGCTGTTGATTTTGAATGTCCCTTTTATTTCTGTCTTACATCCATTTCTGTTAAATGAACAATATTTTCACCTGCGCTAATATATCAAAGTTATTGATTCCTTCAAAGTAAGTTGCATAAATGTTTCACTTCAAAGCATTTTAATACATACATAATCTTTCTTCGTCTCCACGCCATGAATAACTAGTGATCTTTATGCTGCTGCTTGTTCCAATATTGCTTTCACTTTACAATTAGGTACAATCCCACCGAAGGCTACTGTGAGTGTATACGGCCCAATCTTTGGCAAGTATATACACAATTAAAGTTAGGGCTACCTTCCTGTCACCCAAGGTACAGAGAAATGCATTAAAACTAACAAAGCGATAAAAGGGGCCTGAAATTGAAGCAGTTTAGGAAATGACAGTTTAATGAAAGCAGTGTAAAAATACTATCACATTGATGGAAAACATCTGTCCTCCACCAATCTTGAATGATAGAAGGTTGTGTGGCTCTTGAGGAATGTTTTGCCAACCTATGGTTATATCAATGGCAGGTCAGGTATGGCCTGTCTCCTTTAATATCATAGTTACGACTGTCCAAGTGTATACCATTCCAACTGATACTTTGGCTTCAGCATTGCAATAGGTTGCTTTAAAGTTATTTTCACTGTTTGTTGGCTTTTTTCCATGGAGTGTGGGAATAACACTACTGAAATATAAGGAGAAAGAAAATAAATATATACTAGAGCTGTTGGTAAAGAAAAAAGTTTATAAATATTATAATTCTAGTTATTATAATAATCAAAAAGCAACCTACCCTGCTCTTTACTTATGGATTTACTAAATCATGGTTGTAATCACCAGTTGATTCAATCAGTTGATTCACCAGTTGGTTGCAATCAACCAGTTGGTTGCTGATTCCTTTTGTTTTTATTTTAGCAGGCGAATGTTTATGACAAGAGTGTATTAAAGATTATCATTGTGTGATGAAAGGGTTAATGTGTTTCTACATGGTATGTAAATTACCACGACAGACTTTCACAAGAGAGAGGAGAAAAAAATTTATATTCCAAATTGGCAATAAGGAAGTGGATTAGTCTCATGCCCCAAATTTGGAAGAAAATGGAAGCTAATACTTTCCAGTTAAAGATCATTATATTTTCCTTGTCTCTTATTCATTAAGGAGTAATTTTTGAAATCAGATTTTGCAGATGAAAAGCCTATAATGCGAAATAAAAAATTTCCTTTGAGATAAGAAAGAAATTGAATCGCTTCTCACCTGCAAGAGTAGTTAATCTAGGTGCTATTCAGACATGCTAAATGTTTAGTTATATGTGAGTTTAAAATAAATGTGAAATTTTCGTTCTTCAATAAGTTCATCTCTCCATGTATTCCACTGATGGGAATGTTTTCCCTATTTTTCCCCCTAGGATGAAATTATCATGTCTATCAAGGCACCTTTAATCATTTATTCAGTCTTGTCTTTCACATCTAGAATCGCATTCCAATAGTGCCCATGAGTTGGAGAGTAGGATGAGGGCGGACAGGAAAATATGAGTAGGACTTTCCTTTTTTAACAGGATGAAAACTGATATCATAATTTTCATGCTTTTAGGTTATTAGTCTCTTTTCTGTGATCCACAATAGCGTTATCATAGGAAAAGCATCCCTGTACAAATTCAAGCACACTTACCTGGTGCTAATCAATAATTTGGTTACTAAAAGATTATGCCACATTTTTTTCTGGTGCCCTCAGGAAACCTCATAAAAATCTAATTTCAGAGGGGAATTCGCTTGAGTTTTCTAGGTTATATACAATAGTGATGTATGTGTTGAAATCATTTAATGAAATAGCAATTATTTAGAGACTTCCCAACATTTTTATACTATGTAGTAAAAATATTTTTGTGTAAGTCACTATACTTATTATAAGTGTACTTACCCAAGTGTGAAAGTAGGTCAGATTTCATACCAACACATTTAAGTTCACATCTGTAATCCTACCCATCAATATATTTTCTAAAACAAATCTAGCTTAATACTGAGGTTCAAATTACCCTTCATTTTTAGAAAAGAAAACTCTATGGAGGATTTAAACGTAAAAATCTTTAATATTCTTTTTCTGACACATACTGCTAAAAGTAATTTTTTATCTAGCACTCTTGCATTTCCAATGATAGTTGAATTTTCATGATGTATCAGGAAGAAAAACTTAACTTGGTACTAAATATCTTTAATAACACCCTTTAATATCTGAGCTTTAGGTCAGAGCAGTTTATAGTATTTGTCAACTCAAGTAAAATGGTTTTTCTGAAAGCATGCCAATCAAAAATAGAATTTATTCAGTTGATAAATAAGCTATTAGTTTTACAGAGCTATATGTAAAAATAAATGGAGGTAAGAAAAATCTAATAACTGGTTAATAAATGATATTCTGTGGCTGCCATTTCAGTGTGATAATGTTAAACATAAAAAATGATAGTTAAATATATTCTAAAATTCTATTATTTCATCTCTGTTTCAGTTATACTAAGGTGTCCATTAGAATTATAGGGGTGCCCGGCTGGCTCAGTTGGTAGAGCATGAGACTCTTGATCTTGGAGTCATGAGTTCAAGCCCCATGTTGGGCATAGAGCTTACTTTAAAATTTTTTTAAAGATAATTATTCTTATATGTTTCATTTTTCTTTCATTTCTGAGTAAAATGTTTGTTCTCTTCTTTGCTGGTATAATAATGTGACAGTCAGCCACTTGATTCTTACCATTTAGCATTCCGTTTTTACATAATTAAGCATTTGTAATTTCAAACTCCGTATGTCGCCTTTCATTCTAAGGAACCCATGATCTAGATTTAGACTTTTTGCTAATACGTTAGTCTTTTCTGTGACAGTCTCTCTTTAAGCCTTCTTTCCATGAGCTAGAAAATAGAGAAGTATTTTTTTTTTTTTTTTTTTACGAACCTTCTTTCTTCACACAGAGCATAAGTGTAGTTTTTCCAATTTACCTGGACTGGAATTCTGGATCTCTTCATGATGTTTGTGCAAACGTAAAATTCAGTTTCAGTTATTTACCTCTATTTCATCCACTCCATCCCCTTCCATTATTTGCAGGGTTGAGACAAAGTCTTAGAGAGGTCTGCATACTGCAAATAACCTTATGGTATTATGATTTCACTACCATCAATAAAAAAAACCTCAAATGCGTGACAGATGAAAATTTAATTTCCACTGAATCACTAATATAAGCGGAAAGAAGTATCACTTTCCAATTCCTATTTTGCTTCGTAACCCTAAAAATTTGGATAATGTGTGAGGTTTTAGCCTTATGTCTAACAAAGTCATAATAATAACCTACTTCCTAGGATTATTATGATGTTAACTTTCACAGTCCTCTCTGAGACTACTGATTAAGTAGGCAATTTTCATGTGCATTATTATGCTTTTTTCCAGGGGCCAGAAGCCCTATGGGGCATCCTCTGCTTAATCTAAGGAGATTAAGATAGTGAATATCATATTTCATATTGCCAATCTAGATTCACTTAGACCCATTAATTATTTACAGCAAACACACACAGAGAAAACACTCCATGTGAGATTCTAAAGCAGAAGCTCTCAGCAGCTTGAGTTGTCTTGCAAAATATTCCCCGAAGCAGAGACTAGAGAGCAGATACAAGAAAGGGAAAGTATATCAGGCCTCTGGGAGGCAGTAATAATAATTGCAAGGACATTTTAATTTGTTTAAATTAGCATCTAAATCTTTCATAATAATGTTTCAAGCCTGGTTTTTAAAATAACTTCCAAGTGATATTTCACAGTAAATAATCATACCCCTAACACAACTGGCCATCGGAAGAAAAGTGGGAATAGAAATTAAATTTAAAAAATATAGACTAGAATAATTTCCACTGCAGTTGAACCTTAAACTAAAGTAGTTTGTTACTAAAAGAGTGTTTTTAATGTCTGTACTCACTATTGGGGAACAATAAGTATAGTTTCAATTTATAGGACTTTATTTCACTGTGTATAGATTCTTAAAAAACAAAGATAGGATGACATGCAGTTTCGGATATCGTATTTTTTCTTTTGATAAATTATTTAATCATACTCTGTCATGAAAAACTATATTTTCCTTTCCTTTCTCCACTTTTTTTAAACTGTAAAATCAAATATAACTGGCAATTTTAGCAACCAGGAGATTTTCCTCAATTATCGGCGTCAATTCCACATTTTATGGCAGATAATGTTGCTCATTAAAGATATACTATATTCCTTCTTAATTTATCTAGTTATATCTTCCTAAATAATTTATAGCTTCACACTGTTTTGAAGGTCTATAAGCCCCTGTTAACCAGTTATCCTCTTTATATGTAGTTCTCTATTATTTGGGGAGCTTTTCTTCCACCTGGGAAAATGTTATGGCATCTGGTGCACAAATGTTCTGTGAGCGACCTGGATTAATCTCCATATCTCTTGAGGCAATAGCTGTTTGTCAAGTCAAAATTTCAGATTTTTTCTAAGCAATCTAAATCTAGGTAAATGTGACTAGTTTTATTCAAAATATACATTTCAAGGGCAGTCTAAGCCACGTGATTTTTTTTTGTTCTATGTCTCAGCTTTGACAAAGTGTAAAGGAGCAAAGCATCTCACAAAAGCTCTAAAATTTAAATTCTTACAACCAGTTTGTTGATACGGGACTTACATGTTTTTAAAACTCAGACTTTAATCTGTAGGATGATTGTATTTCTGTAAACATAGTGGTCATTTATATAAAAAAGTAGGATGCATGAGTATCAAAATTTGGTTATCTTGCTATCTAATGATTTTACCTTTAATTCATACAAATGTAACACTTATTATGCAATGTAAGTATTACATTACAAAGATGTTTTTAATATTTTTAGCTATTAAATAAAGCCACACTCTGGTAAGCATTCTGACAAAGGAGAAAATGTACCTTCTTGTTTAGAGAGGTAGTGTGTGCGAGATAGTAGAGTGTAAGAAATAGCTATGTCTCCTTCTTTTAATTACTCAGCATCCTAACAATAGCATTAGACCAAGATCAGGAAAGTATAGAGACCTCTTTCTTTCAATCTGTGACTTTATATGGATCTGAGCACATATGTACCTAGAAAGCAAGTCTTTCTCTGTAGAGAAATGTATTTATTTGTTTCAGCATTTCTGATAATATTCATTTATAACTGTTAGGTATTATGTTTAAATGGTCAAAAAAATTGGTGTCCCTCATTTTACCTGTTTTAATAAATCAGTGTGGGCTTATTTGTTGCAGAGGGACCAAGAGTAAGCACAGGAGTAAGAACTAGAATGAGAGACAGGAAGAGAAAGAGAATAAGTAACTGTGCAAATCATTTCCTGTGAAATGAATGTTATTTTGTGGTATAACATAATGTAAAAATAATCACAGTGCGTATTTCACGTAGAAATATTTTTAGATTTATTTATTAGAGAGAGAGAGAGAGCAATTGCATACAAGTCAGGGTGGAGGGCAGAGAGGGAGAGAATTGTCAAGCAGACTCCCTGCTCAGCATGGAGCCAGATGAAGGGCTTGATTTTATGACCCATGAGAACATGGCCTGAGCCAAAATCAAGATTTGGATGTTTAACCAATTGAGCCATCCAGGCACCCCTCCATGCAGAAATATTTTTAATGAATGCTGCAATTAAAAATATTTGTGTGCAAAAGAGCCAGAACAACCTATATGATACTGAAGTAAAATAAAGTTGAAAGACTGATACAATACAACTTAAAGACTTGCTGTAAAGCTACAGTCCTCAGGACGCCTGGGTGGCTCAGCAGTTGAGTGTCTGCCTTCAGCTCACGGCATGATCCTGGAGTCTCAAGATCAGATCCCATTCCAGGCTCCCTGCATGGAGCCTGCGTGCCTGCGTCTCCCTCTGCCTGTGTCTCTGCCTCTCTCTCACTCTCTCTCTCTCTCTGTGTGTGTGTCTGTCATGAATAAATACATAAAATCTTAAAAAAAAAAACTACAGTTCTCAAGATGCTGTGGTATTAACAAACAGATGAATGGAACAGAATAGAGCCCCACATCAATGTCATTGATTGATCTGTGATAAAGTAAAAGTAATACAGTGGAGCAAAGATGGCCTCTTCAACAAATGGTGTTAGAACAACTGGACATGTACATGTATTAAAAAAATAATCTATACACAGATCTTATACGCTTCCCAAAAATTGACTCTAAATTGATCATCAATCTAAATGGAAAACACTAAACTATAAAATTCATACAAGATGGCATAGGGGAAAACTTTGGGTATGGCAATGACTTTTTAGATATAACACCAAAGGCACAATCCGTGAAAGAAAGAACTGAGATGTTGGACTTCATTAAAATTCAAAAAAATCTTATGCTCTGTGCAAGATTGTGTCATGAGAATGAATAGACAAGCCACAGACTAGGACAAAATATTTGCAAAAGTCACATTTGCTAGAAGTCTTGTTATACCAATTATGTGAAGAACTCTTAAAACTCAACAATAAGCAAACAAACAACCTGATTAGAAACTGTCCCCCAAAGTTCATATGTTGAAACCTAATTTCCAATGTGGTAGTTTTTGGAAGTAGAGCTTTGGGCAGGTGATCAGGTCATGATGGCAGAGTCCTCATGAATGAAATTAATGGTCTTATAAAAGATTGCCCAGATAACTCTCTTCCCCATTTTACCATGCAAAGACACAGTGAAAAGATGACCATCTCTGAACCAGCAAATTGGCTCTCACAAAACACCAGATCTGGAGCTTTGGTCTTGGATTTCGCAGCCTCCAGAATTATGTGAAGTTGTGTTTTTTAAGCAACCCAGTTATGATATTTTTCCTATAGCGGCCTGAACAGACTGAGAGAAATATCATTAAAAGTGATATACAGATGGCAAATAAGCATATGAAAGGATGCTTCCTAGCATACTCATCAGGGAAATACAAATTAAAACAACAATGGAATACCAAATACACATTAAAATGGTCAAAATCCAGAACACTGAGAGCACGGAATGCTGGTTATGATATGGAGCAACAGGGACTTTCATTCATTGCTGGAGGGAATGTAAAATGGTACAGCCACTTGGGAAGACAGTTTTGTGGTTTCTTACAAATTTAAAATGTATTCTTACTAGGTGGTGCAGCAGTCACACTCTTTTCCATTTATCCAGAGGCATTAAAACCACACAAAAACCTGCACAGAGATGTTCATAGTCGTTTTACTCATGATTGCCCAAACTTGGAAGCCACCAAAATGTGCATCAGCCAGTGAATCGATAAGTTGTGGTACATCCAGACAATGGAATATTATTCAGGTCTGTAAAGAAATAAGCTATCAAGCATGAAAAGACATAGAAGACCCTCAAATATGTCTTACTAAATGAAAGAAACTCACCTGAAAAGGCTACATGCTGTATAATCCCAATATATGACATTCTGGAAAAGGCAAAACTACTAGAGACAGTAAAAAAAGATCAGTGGTTGACTAGGTTGTTGCAGAGGGAGAGGATAAACCGAGAGAATACAAAGGATTTTTAGGATAGTGCAGATACTCCATAGGATACCATAGTGGTAGATACGTGTCATTATACATTTGTCCAAACAAATACAATGTGC